TCCAAAAAGTTAACAAAAGTCAACGCGGGACTCGCATATCGGAACCTGACATAATTTTCATGAAATCCGAACACCCATTCCGATACGAGTTCAACCATAGCAATTTTATCGAATTCCAATAACAACTCGACTTCCAAATCTTAAATTTTCGTGTTTGGAAGATTTTACAAAAATCTTGATTTTTTCTCCATTAAATCCGAATTAAATGATGGATTTAAAGACATAATCATGAAAATTAATCAAAACTGGATAAGAATCACTTACCCCAAACACCCACGCAAGAATCTCTCCAAAAATCGCCTTCTACCGAGCTCCAAATTAAATTTTGAGTTATGAACTCAAACCCCCATTTTTAGGACTTTTAATTCTGCCCAAATATGACTTCTTCGCTCGTGACCTCTGCTTCATGTTCGTGAAGGCCAATACCCGACTGCCTCAAATCCTTCATCGCGCTCGCGACCTTCTCGTCGCGTTCGCGAAGGGCAACTGTTTCTGCCCCATCATTTACTCTTCGCGTTCGCGAACTCCTTGTCGCGTTCGTGATGACCAGCTGACCAACTCCTTCGCGTTCGCGAAGGCTAAACGACCCCAGGCCCCAATCTTTCTTTCTTCTTCGCGTTCGCGTTGCCTGGACCGCGTTCACGAAGGCTTGCCCTACTCCTTCTTCGCGTTCGCGTTCGCGTCCACAGCTTCGCGTTCACGAAGGCCAAACCATCAGTCCCTCAAATTCCTCTTCGCGAACACGGGACTCCCTTCGCGTTCGCGAAGAAGGAAACTAGACTTCAGCAACAGCAGTCCAAACATCTCCAATTTGGTCCGAAACCACCCCGAAACACACCTGAGCCCCTCGGGACCTCAACCAAACATACCATCAAGTCCCAAAACATCATACGAACTTAGTCTAATTCTCAAATCACCTCAAACAACATCAAAACGATGAATCGCACCCCAAATCAAAATCTATGAACTTTGAACTTTTAATTTCTATAACTTGTGCCGAAATACATCAAATCAATCCGGAATGACTTCAAATTTTGCACACAAGTCATAATTGACATTATGGACCTATTCCAACTTTCGAAATCAGATTCCGACCCCGATATCAAAAAGTCTATTTTCGGTCCAATTCTCCAAAAATTCGACTTTCGCCATTTCAAGCCTAAATTGGCTACAGACCTTAGATTTACAGTCCGGACACGCTCCTAAGTCCAAAATTACTCAACGGAGCTAATAGAACCGACAGAACTCCATTCCGGAGTCGTCTTCATACAGTTCCGACTACGATCAAAATCCTAAGACTTAAGCTTCCGTCTTAGGGACTAAGTGTCTCAAATCTCTCTGAATCATCCGTAAATCAAACTCGACCACACATGCGGGTCATAAAATATATTGCGAGGCTTCTCGAGACCTTAAGTCACTGAACGGGATGTTAATTCTTAAAATGACAAGTCTGATCATTACAAAAGCGATTAAAATAAGAATAGTTGAAGAAAATACAAGTCTGGTCTTTAAAACGTTCCCACCAGGATAAATGAAAAATCTCGACAACACTTGTATAAAACTTGAGAGAGATTATTTGTCTTTTGCTATTAGTATTTCTTGATGTCTTACAATAGAATGAAAGCCTCTATTTATACTAGAGTTATGGGGTGTATGACCTACCAATTGATTACCAATATTAATACTACAATAAAAGGTTATAAAAAAGTAATAAAGAATAATAAAGGGTAATAAAACCTAATAAAGATGGGAGGAATCTTGGAGTCTTCTATAATATTTCTGTAACGGTCATATATTGAATTGCTTCTTATATGACCACAGGTTTATATCCGGTGTCAACATCTTATCCGGCCACAAGTTTGTATCCGGTGTGAACATGATTGAATCACTACTGATTGACATGCGTTGCTTCCTAATTTACCAATCATCTGAGACCGATTTTTATTGTACACAGATACTCCTTTTGAAGTTTCTTAATAAAAATCATCTTACCTGACCCAAAAAAAACTGCATCTTCAGTGTAATAGTCTTTTATTGGATCCTCACCCATTTTTGCATGTGTTTGCTGTACGCTAGATACCTAATTGGAACTTCCATTGTGGTTGATGCAGGACACGGACTGTGTAGGAGTCTACAAAATGATTCAGTTCAGCAGCTCTCGCGACCAGTGGATAAAAGACAAAGAAATGTACCAGCAGGAACTCCTCGTAAATGGCGTAGCCACCCTATGGAATGGTGGTAATATCGCATCTATAAATTAAAAACTATTTTATATGGTTATATATTATAGTTTGTACACTCTTAACACAATTGAGTGTGGCAGTCCAGTGGCCCAGAGTATTCAAAGTAAGTGACGTATTGTTCACGGATTCAAAGTTCTGCCCATTTTCTTTGCCAAAACTAACATAGACCATCATGTTTGGTCTATTTGATTCTTTTACAATCTAAATAATTCCCTAATAAAATAACTCTTAAAACTTAAAATTTATGTAGAAATAAATAACTAATCTTAAAAGTAATTTTTTAACTAAAGGTTACTTCTTAAACAAATTTTATAATGTAAAAGTCAAGTTCTACAAAAATAATTAGTACACCACTCACCGACAAAAAAAAAATTAATTATCAACTTATTTAAAGTTTGAACACCCTCGACGAAATTTCTGGTTACGCCTCTGCTCCTCGTGACAAGCTTTAAGGTGCACCAACCATATAGAAGACATTGCTGTGTGTGTTCTTGTTATATTTTGTAGGGCGGCTCATTGTTTAAATTAAGACCAGCTTCTGAATTCTTAAATGATGTTCTTTTCATGTTGTTGCATGTGTTCTTGTTAGTTTTTTTTTTTTTTTTTTAAAACCCCTCCCAAATTAGGAGAATCTATAGTGTTTTCACACTTCCCCTCCAGCGTGACTCAAACCCAGGAGCAAACGGTCGTAGGTGGAAGTGCTTTTATCAACTGAGCAAGCCTCACTTGTCTCTGTTCTTGATAGTTATGTTTCATTGGGTGTTTCACGCTTAGCTCATTGTTTGATTTAAGCTTAGGATTTTGTTGAATCCAACTGCAGATTTTTCATCTGCAATATGCAGTGGTTGGCCAAGTTTGCCATATATTATCATTACATCTCTAATCTCTTTGTTTGTGCACTAAATAGCTCGAATTTCATTCAAAATCAAGAAAGTAATGAGAAGTATGTTTTGGCTGGCATTCTTCCATGACTTCTTTTTACACTTTTTCATGTTTGTATTTTGTGGAGACTAGTTCCTCTTCTTCATCCATTATATCAAAAAGAAAGTGACAACAAGATTGGGTTTTACGTTTTTTACTCTACTCATTCTTTTACTTCGTACCACTTTTCGCTATCACGCATGGATTTATCTCAAAAATTCTTTCTTCCCTAGAAAACGAAAGATATACTTTCAAATTTGTTCAAAAAAAAATCTCATGTAAGTTTATGATTGTAAATTTAGAGGTTTGCAAATTGTTAAAAGAAAACAGTTATCCACACATATTATATATTCATTAAAAATGGGTTGAATAATGAACTTTTAAAAAACAGGTCGAATACGGATAAAAACCATATTATCCATTTAAAAAATGGATAACCAATGGATAACTAATGGGTTTAACTTTTACATTTATAAAGCCTCAAATTAGGGGTTTCTCAAGTTTGGGAGACTAAGAATTCTACCAAAAGTGATAATATTCAAGAAACCATGGATAATATGGATCCATATTATTCACCGGGTAACCCATTTTTTTATCTGTATTAAATATGGGCGGAGTCGAATAATTTATCCATTTTTTGAATTACCCGTTTTCGACCCGCTCAAATCCGACCCGACCCTCCCATTTGCCACCCCTTTATAATGACGACAAAATAAAGTACACTGATCAAACTATTTTCAATGTTGGATTATATCTACCACAACTTGCTTTTTCATATAGCCAACTTTATGTTGCACTTTCAAGAAAGATATTGAGTTTGGTAATGACAGACCAACCAAAATGGATGAAAAGAACATACACCAATAAACATCATTTGTAATGAAGTGTAATAGGTGAGACTTCATTGCAAATAACCTCATAAAATTAAAATACGTAAAAAATCACAGGTATTTCATTAGATTTTGATTGATCATCTTGGTGGGTTCAGACAATTTCCGATCGTATTGATCTTGACAAACAAGTCATTATACGACAATCCACATCGATCATTTATCAAAACTTATATCTTATTCTTTCATGTTTAGTTATTTATTAATTCAACGCTTTGTTTAATGAAATTAGCTTACAGAATTGTATTTTACATGGCTTGTCGTACGTGCACGTGCCGAAAAAACTAGTAACTGACCATGCCCAACTCTAGTCCTAAAAAGGATAAGCGGTCGCTGCAAATATAATCCGATCTAAGTGCCCGGAGTCAAATCCCACAGAGAACTAAGGTTTAGCTACAATTGGTCACTATCATTAAGAAGACAAGTTTGAACAATTCCTAAATTATAAATATTAAGATTATTATTTCTAATTAACTAACAAATTAAAGTAGTAGATTAACAACTAAAGATATTAAGGGTTGGAGAAAAGATTAAGGAGGTCTAGAGTTATGATTTCCCCAATTGTCGGAATCCTTCCTGTTACGTCTTCTATAATTTCGCCTAAGTATTCTCTACCGATCGTGAGTACTTTGGGTGTCGTAGCTCTCTCTCTCGAGAAACTACCACAATTTACTAGATGCATTCTCTCGAACTACGCTAGCTGGCACTAATTCACCGCTCACTATGATCACACCAAGGTTTCATTATCTCTAATCCCGCTGTTAAACCCTCCGTATTGTTCTCTCACATACGTTAGGAGTGATGTGTTCAACAACTACCTAAATGTGTACTCTCTCTCGAGCAATATATACACTAAATAGGCACAGTCAATTGATGGTCATTCAATCAACAACAATAAACACGTAGTTGAATATGTAGAGAAATACAACGGCTCAATTATATAAAAATATAACAAGAATTCATCTTACAAAAGGTTTTATTAAAACTCTAGATAACAAATTAGATATTCATAATAGTATGCAAAATTACAATACAAGAATTCATAACCAATAGTGGAAATAGGAAAAAGAAAGTGAAAAACTCATAGAAGAATTCTCCGCCTTGTTCCTAGTGTGTTATTGCCTCCATAGGTCGAATACCCTCTAAACAATATCTCCCTTTTGGTTGAATTTGCTCTAAAAAAACGTCCTCCCTTTCTCTTAGACTAAATAGACATGTTTAGGGAGTATTTATAAGCTAGGGTTGAAGTTCTTGAGTCCAAATCCGGGTTAGAGACTTTTAACCAGCGACTTTTAATTACCGGGCTATAGACCTCGCGAAGCGAGGCTTATAGCGCGGTCAACCTGGCTATAGAACTCGCGAATCCTGGTCTGTAGCGCGGTCAAGCTGGCTATAGACCTCGCGAAGCCTGGCCTGTAGCGCGGTTTGGGTACTTGGCATTTTTGTGCTCTTTTCTTGCATTTTCGTCCTCTTTTTGTGCAACCTTCACTCGTCTTTCTCTTCTAATACCCCTACACATAAAATAACATAATTTAGCTCAAATGTCGCACAAATAACTACTAAACTAACATGTAAGGAGAGTAATGTACTAAAAGTATAGCATTTTGGCCCAACATCAGTAACACAAGAAAGTTTTGGAAGTCCTAAGAAACAAGTTTACCAATACCATGTATTGAATTATTTTATATAGCTATATGTATTATAATACTGAAAAGCATTATACAGAGAGAGGTATAATGTCAAATGGGAGAGCAGAGCAGTCAATCTTTTAAGCAGCTCTGTCCAAAGGAGTTTTGAGCTTTCAATGAATCAGAATAGTAGGTCGACGAACGGCGAATACAAGTAGGATATTTACCAATTTTCCTTCATGAACAACTTTTTAGCGCGAGAATTTCACCGGATACTTTGTCAGAACAATTTTTATTCAAGTCAACCGCAAGGATCTTATAGTCATCCCTAGTTGTGTCATATCCCAATCCAAAAACACAATCATGTCGTTTATATTCTAGATAGGGAACTACTATTGATTCTCTTGTGGAGGGGTTCCAGAGCAAAAGGTGTATGCCAAGTCTATCACAAGTTACGAGAAGAACCAATCCATCATAACAACAAACTTATGTGGTAATGTGATTTGCAGTTTGTAGGCAAATCAAGTTTTTGTTCATCCGCAACCACTTGAACCGGCGATAAAAAAAACAAGAGAATTCAACCGCATCACCCCCCCGCGTATTGGGCAACAAGAAGTTTTTGGGATTTTTGACCCTTCTTGGCACGATTGAGATGCTTCATCTTAAAGTAATAATCAAAGATTAATGCCTTCCAGAATGTTGAAACACATTTGAGCCGTTGAAGAGACCGCACGGATAACCTGCGGAAGATCTCCATAACTATTTCCTCTTGGAACGCTTTAGTAGTTCACTAGTTGAAGATGTTAAATCTTTCGAGCTCATATATATACATAGAGAAAACCAAGAACAAATATATAAAAAGAAAGCTACAGCGACCAGAGTTCAAAACAAGTTTTCAAGCACAACTTCTACAACTAACCTTTGAATTAGTTGAGAAGGCCGCCCAATGATTACAATAACTGTTGTTCCAAATAAGGAATAAAAAAGGATAATCCGGTGCAATAAGCTCCGCCTATGCGTGGGTCTGGAGAAGGGTCGGACCACAACTGTTATTCCAAATAAGGAATAAAAAAAGGCAGCCCGGTGCACTAAGCTATGCGCGGGGTCTAGGGAATTAAGGGCCGGACCACAATTGTTATTCCAAATAAGGAATAAAAAAAGGGTTGCCCGTTGCACTAAGCTCCGCCTATGCGTGGGTCTGGGGAAGGGCCGGACCACAATTGTTGTTCCAAATAAGTAATAAAAAAGGGCAGCCCGCTGCACTATGTTGCCGCTATGCGCGGGGTCCGGGAAGTGTTCCAAATAAGGAATACTTGTGGAATTTCAAAGTAAAGTTTTAGCTCTGATCTGGTGATTGTTTTTATATAAGTAGTACTGCTATGATTCGAGTAATTTCTCAGTCACAGAAATAATTACTGTCAGAGAGTATAACTGTCTTCTTTACATACTAGGAACTTGTTGTAGAATCTTCAAAGTCGTTAAACCAACAACAATTAAAACTCACCTGATCAATGTCCATAGTATTACTTCCCTGAAATTTAAAGAATTGTAGGGTTAGCATAGAACAAGTATCCAAATCCACGTGCGTAAACATAAACACAGAGCAGAACCAAAAACGAGAAAAATACCTTTGCAAATATGAATGAGGTACTGATTTCTTCTTCTTCTTCTTCTTCTTCTTCTTCTTCTGTTGGGGGCATCTGGAAAGGATAAACGATTCTGCATCGCTATTACCATCAATTTGATTGAAAAGATTAGCCTTTTTTGTATTTGCATTGGATTTCTTCTTCTTCGCCTTTTGTATCTTTGAACCGGTTCGGGTTTGGTGGTCCTACTCAGTTTGTAAACATTGAGGTATATGTTTTTCTATTTCTACTGGTCTCTAAATATATGTTGCATGTGTATTTAAAATAATAAACTTTCAACTATTCATTATAATCAGTTGGTATTATAACACTATTGTACCCTCTAGTAGAAAGGAAAATATGTTTCTATCTTGATTCACAAAGTTGGCGATTTCCTATAATAATAATATATGTAATAAAATTTAAATTCGCTAAGTATGGCGAAGAAGATTAATTAAAACGAGTTATCAAGCAAATTAGCGGAACTTAATCATATTAAATCAATAATACATTCACAAAAAACAAGTCATATACACTCTATTAATTAGTAATTAGAATATCATAAGCTGATTCTCCTCTCTCGTGCGGAACTTGATCATCATATTCTACAAAATTCCTCTTCATCATCACAATGGAGAATACAATATCGACACTCAGCTACCAATGCCAACTTACAATAATTGATATAATTCTTCGTGTTGTTCAAAGCACAACATTGTCCTACGATATTAGACATTTCCTTAGGCATGTTGGCATTGTTCTGGTTGTGATAATTAAGATGAAGAAAGTCTAATTATGCAATGTAATTTCACATCTTTTACGCGTTTTAACTAATCAAAAATCGCAGGATTTTTCATGACATGGACTCATGCCACAAATAATAAAAGCCATCTAATACAACAAAGAAGAATAATTATATATATAAACTATCTTCATAATAAAGTTATACTAAAAATTTGTATTATTTAAAAGGTGGACAATTCATAAAGTATAATTTAATGCAATAGACTAAGATCCTAGTATTTACAATTACACAGACTATGAGTTACAAAGTGCTACGAAATAATATTTATTTGAGATTTGAGCGCTGGTATTTTAATCTAAAGAGGGTAAAGTTACTTCAAAGTTCAAATTATTAAATTAGACTATTAAAGTCCTAAATATTACTACATTTTGACCAATGTGTCAATATATCTTTTTACAACAACAAAATATAGTAGATTATCCTTAAAAGCATATTTTTTTAAAAGAACAGGCCGTAGGTTTCTAATATAAATTCAGAACCATATAGAATAATTTGGGTAGGTTTTTTTTTCTATAAAAAGAAACCAAAAATTTATAGAACCGAACCGAACAAACTTTTATATAGAAAATATATTTTATATATTGTTTTTCTATAGTATTTTATATCTGCTTACTATATTTTTCTAGAAGAAACAAATAGAAGCATTTATTTCATGGTACTGTTAGTTCACTCCTACTATATTACTTCATTTATAAATTTTATTACGTGAATAATTGAAAAGCTCAAAATGCACGAACATTTAATTCCATAATGTGTGATGCTCTCACGTTGAGTCAAAAGCTATGTATAAATTTTTGCAAATTATCTGATCAATCGATGTGTATCCTAAAGGTACCGTAATTATTATAGACCAGTATAGAGAAATTTCTCGACCAGTTATATGTGCCTCATATATAATTATTCAGTATTAATCATTAAAGAGTTGTATCTCGTGCTATCCGGTGTATTTTTTATTAAATATAGTTTAGCACAACTATTATCATTTAGAGAAGTGTCTAGTTAGGTGAGTTTGATGAATGTCGAGGTAGAACGAATTTGAGCTAAACACCATTGATATATATTGGCATGTCAAATTCCTTTTCCAACTATAAATTTAGTTTCTTGAATAACTTTAATGTCTAATATCTTCATCCTAATAAGCTCAGTAATGACGGTTGGGAAAAATTAATAGCCACATACACAATCCAAAGTTATAAATAACCGGCCGAATCAAATTATTACAAATTTCAGTTGATTAAAAGTCAAAATTATTATGCATGCTTGACATGACGTCCTATAAAAGCAAGAGTCTTAAGTAGTCCACTCAAAATAGAAATGCTTCTAATAACCAAACTAACAAATTTGAATTTTTTGGTTTGTGAAGATAGAAAAGTTAGATTTTTTCTATGGATTATATAAAATTAATTTGATAAGAATAAAATTAGGTTTCATATAATTTTTTGACCCAATTTGTTTTGGTGAATAAAGAGAAACGAATAACATACTAATTTATGAGGATTTTAGTCGTGGTAGGATTGAAAGTTCATAGAAGTTAATCCTATGTCTAGTTTTATTCTCCAAGTAGAATTAATATTACGTGGGCACCATGTCTCGTTACAAAATTTAGAGAATTTTACTTCTAGTTGATTTCAAGTCCTATTATTATCAAATTTTTAAAGATTACAATTTTATTAAACATCAATTATATTTTTAAGGCTATTTTGGCTATCAACATTATATTCATACTTTTATAATAAGATAAATATCAATAACAAAATAACCCTTAAAATATATGAAGGGACACCAAATTAAATGAATAAGATAAATATCAATAACAAAATAACCCTTAAAATATATGTATATGTAATGCCTCCATAATTTAAAATGCCAAGAAATGTTATTACATATATTAGCATAATATGGGAACTAAAACTGCATGGATATCATCGTCTGAACCTGCAAAAATGATCAATTAAGTCATGTCAGTTATGACATACTATTATGCACTAATAGTTTATAAATATGCAATGTGATGATATGTTACCTAAGACTTCTTTTAGACGATATTCTTTGTGTATGTACCATTCTGACGCTTTGGTTGCTCCGTCATGATAACAACTTTTATTGTGGACATCGATATTCCTCTTGAAAGTGCAACATGTAGTTGCCCATGCGAGCAAACATGTTGCGGGAGATATAATCCAACATTCAGAATTGTTTGTCCTTGTGCTTTATTGTCACGACCCGAAATCCACCTAATCGTGATGGCACCTAACCCAAACCGTCAGGTAAGTCAATTAACCACTAACCAATTCTAATAATAATTAATAAAGCAATTAAGTAAAGAAATACCTGAATCTGATACATTGCCCAAGGACTGGTAGTACAAATCATGAGCTTCTAAGAATAGAGTTTACAAAGCTGAAATGAAGTAAATATATCATCTATTTGAAGAGTACATAAACAAAGTTTTATGAACTAGAGACAACTACAATCGGAACGCAGGTACATCTTCAATTCCGGCTCCCGTCGATCACAGCAACGTCATCAGTCAATATATGCACGCAAGGTGCAGAAGTATAGTATGAGTACAACCGACCCCATGTACTCGATAAGTAACAAACTTAACCTTAGGTTGAAAGTAGTGACGAGCTAGAACAAAGGTCGGGTTCAATACCAATATCCCACAATAATTCATAAAATCATAGTACAAGTAATAAAAGGAGTATCTTAGAAATAAAATGTTCAGCTCGTTCACAGTTCCAGAAAAGTAGGCATGCTTTTCAAGTATTTCAGTGAAAACTCAAATCTTATACCAAAATTTGCCAAAAATATGAGTAAGTTTGAAAGCTGTGATTTTTTCCAAAATTCCTTTCAACAATAAATAAGATGTTTTATTTTCCTTTCAGATAGCACGTGTAAGATGTCTCTCTATGCCCATATGTCAAAATGTATGAGAAGTCATAAATGACATGATACTATACAACATGAGAAAAAATGCATCTCTATACCTGTATGTCAAGTGTGCATGTCAAATGCGATGCAAATTAGTGATAAAGACCATATGCATACTCTCAGAGTATCAATTCACTCAGTCCTCCCAGTCACTCAGTCCTTCCAATCACTCAGTCCTCACAGTCACTCAGTCCTCCCAGTCACTCGACACTCGCACTCAGTAGGTACCTGCACTCAATGGGGGTGTGTACAGACTCTGTAGGGGCTCTTACAGCCCAAGTGTTATAACACGCACAGACAACTCACGTATTATAGTATCAATATCTGGATCCACACGGACAACTCACGTGCTATAGTATAACATCTGGATCCGCACAGACAACTCACGTGCTATAATATAGTATCTCACAATCAGGCTCTCGGCCTCACTCAGTCATCAATCTCTTCAGTCTCTCGGGCTCTCAATGTCATGAAATATCAGCCCAAAATAATGAGGTGATGTATCAATATGTAGCAACAAAGACTGAGGTATGATATGAAATGAATAAACATGACTGAGTATGAAATTGCAATGTAAGCAAATAACTCAACAGCAATAACGACCTCAATGGGTCCCAACTGAGTAAGCACGTAGCCTAGACATGGTTTCTAACATGAATCACAGCTCAATAGCTCTAGTACGTAAATTTCATGGTTACAGATATGATCAGGCAGCTACACAGTATCACAGAAATAACGGAATTACAACTTACACGGTGCACGCCCACATGCCCCTTACCTAGTATGTGCGTCACCTCAACACCAATCATATAACACGTAATTCGAGGTTTCATACCCTCATCACAAAGTTTAGAAGTGTCACCTACCTCGAACAAGCTAATTCCAATACCGAGCAAGCCAAGCGATGCTCCAAAAATGTCATCTAGCGCGTAGCGACCTCCAAACGGCTCAAAACTAGCCAAAAGCAACTCAAATACATCAAATAAAGCCCAAGGAAATAATTTCAAATGAAAAAGGTCGAATCTTTAATCAAAAGCCCAAAATCGGCCAAAACGTCCAACCCGAGCCCACACCTCGGAATCCGACAAAACTCACAAAATCCGACAACCATGAGTCCAACCATACTAATTTCACTTAAATCCGACTCTGAATTGATGTTCAAAACTCAAAAATTAACTTTACGAAACTTTAGGCTAAAACCCCCAAATTTCTCTTTTGGAACCCTCAATCAAATGCTGAAAACTAAGATAGATTCATGATATAAAATAAAAAATGAGAAGAGAACACTTACCTCTGTTCACATGGTGAAAATTGCCTCAAGAATCTCCTCAATCCGAGCTCAAGAGCTCAAAAAATGCAAAAATGGCCGAAACCCTCGAAATAGAGCACTTTATACTTCTGCCCAGGCATCCTCTTATGCGAACGCGGGAAGTCCATCATGTTCGCGATGAACAAAAATACA